CCCCAAAACCCCAAAACCCCAAAACCCCAAAACCCCATTAAGTAGAATACAATTTAATAAAAATAATTAGAAATTTGATGATTATTGAAAGATAATTACAATTTAATGGGAAATATATTTACACCTTCCTCTCAGGAAAAGAATATTTTGATGTTTGGACTGGAAAGAGCAGGAAAGACCCACATGCTTTACAACAACCTAGTGGGTGAGGGAGGCATGCATACAATTAAGAAACTGAAAGAGACCCTGGGCATGAATTATGAGCATGTGATAGAATCGCCTCAGAACTTCGATGTGTGGGACATTAGTGGGAACCCTCAACTGCGAAAGAACTGGTCGCTTTACATTAAGAATGTGCCAGTGGCGGGAGTCATTTACGTGGTGAATGTGAGTGAGGAGATCGAAAGACTCAGAGAGAGCAAGAAGTGGCTGCACATGATTATGAACGAGCAGGCGCTTAATGACTGCATCGTAGCAGTCGTGTTTAACAGCAAACCTAACTTGCAAGCCAATTAAGCCCAGAGTGGTTTCACGGGGAAAGACAGTACTATGAAGAAAGACCAAACCTTGAAGAGTGGCTATGAAAGTCAGAATATGGCTACTGCTGCTATGCAGAAACCAGTCAAGAAAAAGGATCAGTGGGTAGAGTCGCCCTTCAATCAGGAGTAACTTGAGAAGATATTTGCTCTTAATAAGCTAAAGAAGACAATGATAAAGCAGTCATTCTTGATTGATGTTGGGGAATAAAAAGCATGTGAAAAGGTGTTCCAATGGGTCAGTGCCAGACTAGACTCAAAGATCAAGTAAAAAGCGAAAAGAGAGAGGCAACAGGCTGCTGCGGCTTAAAGTGAAAATACAGATGCGAGTAAATGAGTAAAGTACTTCAGATTGCTATTGGATTTTATCATTTATATATAATTTGAACCAGTATGAAAATAACTTTGAATAAACTTATAGTAATAATAACTTTAATTTGATAAACTTTAAAAATATCACATTTGACAATAATGGAGAAAGAAGAGTGTTCAATTTGCTTTTTCTAGTATGACAAGCATCACAAAGTGCCTCGAATTCTGAGATGCGGACACACATTCTGCCAGACTTGTTTAGACGAGATTAAACTACCTTCAAAGCATTCAATCACTTGCCCCAACTGCCGTCTGCAAACAGAAAATGTGATCTGCACTAAAAACTTACCAGAAAATGATGGCGTTTTCAATCCCTCACTCAGAGTCATTGGTGTCAATCTAAACTCGCCATACGAATCAGCCAAGAGGCTTATGCAGGAATGCGAAGCACTGCAGTCCACCTCTAGCAAGTTCATGCAGTATATCAATAAACTCGAACAGCTTGACAATGAATCAGAGAAGATAATAATGGATAATTTTGAGAAGGAATATCAAAAGGTGGAAGGCGTGGCTTAAATCATGATCCAGATGATCAACGACTACAAAGATAAACTATAGAAGCAGTTGACAGACTCCATGGTTGTAGAAAGAAACAAGCTGAACTAGCATATCAAGGAGATTAATCTGAAGAGAATCGAGATAACTGATATCAAATCTGGAGTGGAAGAGGTAGCCATTGAGCTAAGCAGCATTAAGGAAAACGAGTAGGAGTATCTCAGACTGCAGAAGGAGTACTACAGACGAATGCAGGAATTGGAGGAAGAGCAAAACTAGATGCAAGAGCTAACATAGAAAGGGCAAGTAGAGAAAATGAAGAAGGGCTGTGGTAGTGACAGTGGAAGCAGTTGCGGTATAGGTGGAATGAATTCTACTGCTAATGAGAAGTAAATGATAAAGATCTAGAATGAAAAAATCATTAGCTCTGATTTCTGTGTAGGCATGAATATTTCCACTCCTCCTGTTTCCTAGCAAGACTTAAAGTTAATTGGAGGTTAGTCACTGAATAATAACCTTGGAAAAGACTTGCTCATAGAGATCGACTCGGACACTTGTTCTCAAAAATCAGATACAGATCTGGGGAAAATATCAATGCAGAATCTGTGTAATAATAGCAGCTCCAATTCAAGCTTGATGATATCAGACATTAAGAACATAGAGGCAGGTGAAGTTGAGTCACTTGAAAAAGAGGATAAAATCAGAGTGAATCAGGTTAGGACTCAATTCTATTCTATTAATGAAAGATTTGAATAGCTACTTAAATTTAAGTCTGTGAGTAAAATTCAGCTATGGTAAACAGAGTTGAATTTGAATCAGACTTACAATATATTTGCAACATTCAAGCTGGAAGAGAAATTTTATTCAACAGAGGATAAGATCAAGGAGTTAGAGGCATAAATGGACTTAAAAGACTATTACGACATCAAGAGACCGATAGTGGTATTTTTCTATCAGTAAAATAAGCAGCTTAGAGCAACCAAAATAGATCTACTCTGTGATTAGGTAACTTAAACAAATGTGAAACTGGTAAACCCTATGATTAGTTAAACCCTTAATCTAAGAAACTGCAAGACTGTAACTCACCCGTCAAATAATTCTGTATACATTGTGGACGATGCGCAGCTCTACCAATATGATAACAACAATGACTTAATTTTGCAGAAGTAAATGTTTAATCAACTTAAGGGTACTGTTCAGCACGCTCTAGCTTACAATGAAGGATTTATATACTTGGTTGGTGGGTATGACTCGAAAACGCATAAGACTTTGAAGCAGTGCTCGAGATTCAACATAATAACAGAGAAATGGCAATAAATGGCACCTATGCTGTTCGAAATCAAGGAGGCAAGCGCCTGTGCAATTAATGAGTCTTAAATCGTTGTAGCTGGTGGAGTAAACTCACAACAAAGACTTTCAGAGATAGTATAAATCTATGACATTCGTGAAAATGCTTGGAAGCTGTTTGAAATCTGTCTGTCAACTCCAAGAAAGCAGGTTACAATGGTTAGCAGTCATATGGACAGAGTCATTATAATTGGTGGAAAAGAGTATGATGAAAATAGTGAAAGCAAGATAGTCGAGGAAATAGATTTCTTAAAGAGAAACATTGTTAACCTAGCTCCACTGAGAGTTGCTAGATCTAATTCAAATGCCTTTATGGTTAATGATAGCATTTATGCTTTCGGAGGAAATAGCTTGGCCAGCATGATCGGAGAGAAGTACACTTTAAGTGAAAATAAATGGAGAGAAGTGAAGCCTAAAGACCCCAACGAGAATCTCCAGAACTGTAGAATTATTGGTGGAGCAGCTTTACTGTACGAATGAGCGATAAACATTCGATTGTTGACTAGCATTCTTTGATAATGATTAAGTCGAAAGTGTATTGATTAATCCCCTTCTTAATATTTTCTAAGAATTGTTATATATTCAATCAATTAACAACTACTTTAATTTAATGCACTAAACATCATTAGATAACTTCTCCCTCGTATTCAGTTAAGAATTTCTCGATAAGCTCAGCCTTTATGGTGTCGAATTCGTTCTCTTTCAAACTGACACCTGCGTTTACTCTCTTCTTGAAGTCGTCTACTTTCATATTTTTATAGGAGGTCTCAACCTTGCACTTGATGAAACCACACAGAGTCTCGAAGCTGGTGAAGAAGGTGACATTCTCAATGAGTAGATCGAATTTTCTTGGGATAATATACATGGTCATGCCTTCATCGGCTAGCAGGATGTTGTGAGGGATGTTCTTGTCAATCAAGTAGTTAAGAACAACGCCAGCTGTATGAGCTAGAGCCTCTTGAGCATCTTCAAGTGAAGCCTCGCTCTCGCTGTTGATTTCAGGGGAGAGTACGAGTGTTCTGACTGGCCAGCCTAAGACCTCGCCGAATCTGACTCCGCAGTTGTACATGTTGACTTCATCCTGAGATTTATGTCTCAAACTGCTTCTGAAGAACATCTTCTTCTCGTAGTTCTCAATTGGGAATACACTCTAGCCATTGGTGTTCTAGAGTAGTTTGTCTGCATAGACCACATGGAAGTGCAAGTTATTGGCAATGCAATCTGCTCCCATTGAATTATACCCGATTCTAAGGTTGGGGTTGCCTGAGAGCTTGAATAATTGGAGAAGTAGAAGCAAAAGCTCATCTGACAGTACTTGGGGAAGTCCTTCCTCGGCAAATAGCAAAAAGAGAGAGTGACCTTCACAGATTGGATATTGATTCAGCAATAATGGATGCTTAGATCCCTGCACTTCGTCTTCTAAATCATCTTCAACTTGTGCACCATTTAACTTTCCATCCTGCTTATCAATGATATTCTCATTCTCTAGGTCAATATAGAACAACAACTGGCCTTCATTCTCCTTGAGGATATCTGTATCTTTGCCGCCTGCACCGCCTGACTTGAACACACACAGAGCATCTTCTAGTGAGTCCTCGAATGGGTCTTTATCCAGGTCATCTGATCCACCACCTCCGAATTCAACTTATGGCAGAGAATCTCCATTGCCTTGAGCTACGAAGAACCTGTTTATATCCTACATTCAAACATCAATATCTCATGCATCGACACATTATTTTAAGAATATCATCTCACTGCACTGATTCACTGCCAGTGATTTGAAATCATAAACTAACATGAAATCAGATTACTTACCAACTTCTAATTGAAGAAGGCCACCAAGTTGCCGTCATCAAGTATTTTCTAGGTACTCAGTTCGATGAACTATTTGGTAGTGGCTTGAGACATGGCAAGAGAGTTCCACTCCTTGTCCAGCTTAACGTCTAAGAGTCCTGGCTCTGACACACTTTCAACCATTTTATAGTTTTAAATTCAATTATTCATATTTCAAATCTTTCGCTATTTCCATTCTGTGGGGTTTTGGGGTTTTGGGGTTTTGGGG